GGGGGGGGTTAGGGGGGCGGGGAGGATGTTGGGGTTGGCGGTGGCGGAGGTCGGGGTAACGGGGGAGTGCAGGGGGGTGTGCTGGGATCTGGAGGGTTGGGTTGTGGTGGAGGGGAGTACGTTGGTAACTTGGTAGGGAGTGGGAGAGCACCCGTTCCCAATGGTGCCGGACTGGGATTCCAACCGATTTGACTGTGTTTGGGTGTGGATTGTATCTATAATATCATTGATATGAGGGCCATGGAGGTTTTTCCATGCGTGGAAGGTGGGGGTTGGGATGGATGGAATGAATGGGACAGATGGGGAATCCTTAGTTCCCTTGTGGGGAGAGTGTGGAGGGGTGGGGTATGGTCAGCTGGGTCGGGGCAGATCTGTGGGTGGGTGGACGGACCTTTCTTGTCTAGCTGGCTTCATCTTGCCACCACTGTTTCTTCAGTGGAGGTTTTGGTTATCGTCAAGAGTTGCCAGTGTTCGTGAAGGGGTTCTAACCATGTGTGGTCAGACATCATAATGAATCGTTGTCTTTTCTTAGCCTCATCGGTCATGGTTTGCAGAGATTCCTTGAGGTTTTTCCATGCCTGATGTATGTTCGTGTGGATTGTATCTATAATATCATTAATATGAGCTTTTGGCTTGTGGGTGGCCGAATGTGTGTTTTCCTAGTTCGTGGGAAATGAATCATTGTGCTAGAATCTTTTTTTTTTTTTGTTTGCACAAAGAAAATTTCATTCTGTTGTTCCCCATAAAACTGTTAATGTCTTGATCTTTAAATTGCAGCAGTTGGTTAGCCAAGGCAGGGGGACAATTTTTTTTTTTTTTTAATGATTCATGCCAGATCACAAGTTTTTATGCCGAGCAGCGAGCACCGAGTGGTGAGTTGTAGCCGTTGTTCAGTGCATACAGGTCACCCAGTGCAGGCGGACACTCAACCCAAGCTCTGGCAGTGTGCCGAACAGACGGAAGCTCTGGCAGTGTGCCGAACAGACGGAAGGAATGCCATCCATGTCCTTGAGAGCCGATATTGAATCACATGAGGTGTCATGAAAAAGTGGCATGTCCATCACGCCCTCAACCGATTCTTCTTAGTGATGCAACGATACCTGTTTGCTCGGTTCAGGCCCTGCAATTTTTGTATTTTTTATTTTTTTCACACAAGCCATTTTTTTATTTTTTTATTTTTTTGCAAAAGGAGGTCGGGAATCCCTCCACATCTCAACCCGGTGTACTGGGTCCATTACACAGCTTTGGCTTGGCTGGAAACCGGGTCCAGTGTCCCCTTGAGCATAATTCTAAAAAACAAAAACTGGACTAAGGAGGGATCTTTTTGTAGTATTTTGTACCTAGAAAATAAAAATCGCAGGATCGATCATCGGCCCTGCGATTTTTATTATTCCAGGCCCTGCAAAAAATTGGGGGCATAAATGGCCATTTTTTATTCCTCAGTCTGTAGTCACTCTGACCCTAGGAATGACTGCCAAAAAAATTGGTCTCGTACTACTACACGTGCTGGTCTCGTACTACTACACATGCAACCACTCTTGTTTTGGCCAGAGGCGTTTCCTGACCTTGCCTGAAAAGGAAATTACTGTGGGGGGCCACACTGTGAAACAGTAGGGGCAACAGAATTTTGCACTGCTTCAGTGCAAGTTTCCTAGTGTGCTGCAGTGGCGCAAAATTCCCAGTGTCGTTCCCGAATTCAGAGCGCAGTGGCGTGCTGTCCCAGTATCCAGCTGTGGTGGTTCCCTTCATAACTCTCTCTCTCTCTCTCTCTCACATCATCATCATCATCTCTCTCTCTCTGTGTGTGTGTGTGTGTGTGTGTGTGTGTGTGTGTGTGTGCTGTCTCTTATACACATCCATTTTCTTCTGTCTAATGGAATCAATACATAGACTCTGATATTGTGGACAAGGAAATAGACTTTACCTTCTAGAAAGGAAAAAGACTTCACCTTCTAGGTTTGCACTTGTCCATTCTCCAACTTCTCCTCCTTTTAAGACTCTGATGTTGTGGACAGGGAAATAGACTTTACCTTCTAGAAAGGAAAAAGACTTTACCTTCTAGAAAGGAAAAAGACTTTACCTTCTAGGTTTGCACTTGTCCATTCTCCAACTTCTCCTCCTTTTGTGCCCTTTTTCTATCCCTCCCTGGAAGTGGAAGGTACTGAGGCATGCTTACCTTGAAGTTTACTTCTTGCTGTATTTTTTCAGGATACGGGAATTGGGATTGAAGAGAAAGCGCAGAAGTTCATTTTCAACCCCTTTGGGCAGGCAGACTCGAGCGACACGCGTGCATATGGAGGGATGGGGCTACAGCTCCCAGTGTCGAAGCGACTGGTGGAACTGATGGGAGGAGCAATGGGGTTTGAGAGTCAGACTGGAACTGGCACTTTGATGTACTATCATTTGCCACTCTGGGCACCATCTGTTGCTGGGGATAAGGTAAAAGGCGGCATTCTAAAATTTATGGGGTCTCCCAAGGAGGAGGAGGGAAGTGAGGTCACGCCTGGGACGGTCACGGAGAATGGAAGGAAGAACAGCAGGGAAAATGTCGGGGATCAGGGTTTCGTTATGTCACACAGGAAGATGGATGCCAGAACTCCACGAGAGGATTTTGCTTCGTTAAAAAGTAGGGTAGAAGGACTGCATGTGGTGTATGTCGATGACAGTTTGTTAAGGCAAACGACTGTGAAGTACATCATGCGGAGATTAGGTTTACGGATCTCTCTAGTTAGGAGCTTAGATCTTGTGGCAGGCGTTCTTGCTAATGCCCGTAGCGAAGTTTTGCTGGATTTAGGTCAGTCATCCCTTGCATCGGCGGAGGACTCAAGAGATAAGGTTAGTCATCATCGGTCCAGCACAATCGGGAGAATTGGGCAGGTGCACAGGATTGCAATCTTAGTTGCTTGTGAGTATTTTTCTACGTTTCAAAATGTACAGGCTGCAAAAAAGTCGTTGCTGTCGACCATAGCAAGCATTGAGCAGTCGAATGACCGCAGCGGTGCGGGGGGTAGGGTCGATAGTGGTAAGACGTCGTTCAGTTTGTTTAAGGGTTTTGTATGCAGGAGTCAGTCCGATCAAGAAACGGGGAGAGCACTTGGGTTCGATACAATGCTCTTGAAACCGTTGACGACTCGTACAGTGTGGAGCAGCCTTGTCGAGATGACGACGGGGAAGATGCGACCTTTATCTGCAAAACGTGTTTCCGGTAAACAAGTTGCCGATCCTCAGCTCACACCATCATCACCAGAGTCGCTATCCACTTCTTCTTCACCCCAGCCAGGCACTGTTGCATCAGCTACTTCCCCTTCAGTGCCTTCACAGCTGGATGACGACAAGAAAGGGTCCATTCCTGAGGTTATTCTGAAGTCGCTTTCAGGAAAGAAAGTCTTGGTGGTAAGTTGACCTTACCTCACCCGACCTCGACTGCTTTTTTTTTTTTTTTTTTTTTTTTTTTTTTTTTTTTTTTTTTTTTTTTTTTTTTTTTTTTTAATCAAGCTCCGATCTATTCGTGGGGAGCATCACATGCTGAGAAACGGGGCGCCCTTGGGCCTTGACTGCATCATTCTCTAACTTGTCGTATTTATTACGCCCTTGACCGACCCAGGTTCCTTTCAACGACTCGACCGTGTTCAAATGACTTTTTTTTTATGATAAAATTTTTGCGAAAAAAAAAAAGGCTAGCATCCGACCTCTACTACTACCTGGGGTCTGGTCCCACCTACCGTTGTTGAGTTCAGAAAACTCAACGGTGTGACGCCATTTCGACATTAATAAATTAGAAACAAAAAACTAAAAAACTAAAGAAAAACACTAGAAACAGCTTTTCTCCTTATTTTTGATAACGTAACTCGGAGAAATGAAACATGTCTGGAACAGTCGGAGTGAATGTCTCCGTGAAAAAGGGATACT